CCCTCCCGACCAAAATTGCCGGGCCCCCCCCCCCCCCCCCCAACCCCCCCCCCCCCCCCCCCCCCAACCCATGTCGGCTGGCCCAAAAATCCTGTTCGGCGGGCCTTGAAATTTTCGGGGTTCGTCGGCGTCCAGCTCCATGGGTCCATTTTTGTACGAAAATGTGCTGACAATTGCAAAAAAATGCTTTTTTGTCTGAAAAGCATGACCTCCTGCTGGCCAGGCCTGTCTGACGTGTCTGAGACTAGGCTCAGGCCCAGCCCAACCAGCAACCCGCCTGCTGGCCAGGCCTGTCAGCCCAGCCCACCCAGCCTCAGGCCCAAGCTTGTCTGAAACAGGCCTAGCCCAACCAGCAACCCCAGCAACCCCAGCAAGCCCAGCCCAGGCCCCGGCGCATCTCAGGGCATGCCAGCCACTAGGCCAGCCCGCCAGCAGCTCAGCCCAGCGCCTCTAACGTGTCTGAGACTGGCCTCAGGCCAACGACCAGTCTCACGTGTCTGAGACTGGTCTCAAGCTATGCCAGCTACTAAGCCTGTCTAACGTGCCCCAGCCCCTCGTCCGGCTGCCCAAGCAGCTCAGGCCAGGCCTTGACCTCCTGCTCGCCCCAAGCCCCACCTTCGGCGCAGTCTAAAAAACTCAAAGTATGCCAGCCTAAAACTAGCCTCAGGCCCATCGCCTGCTGGCGTGTCTTGCGTGTCTGCGACTGGCCTCAGGCCCAGCCCAGCCAGCAACTCGCCACCCAGCCTCAGGCCCAAGTGTGTATGAAACAGACCTTGCCCCTCCAGCAACCCACCCAAGCACAGCTCAGCCCAGCCTGCCCAGCCCAAGTTCCAGGCGCAACCAGCAGCGTAGTCCGGCCAGCAACCCACCCATGGCTTCGCAGCCTTGTGGCTGAGACTAGCTTCAGGCCCAGCCCAACAAGCAACCCACCTCAGCCCAGCCTGCCCAGCCCAGGCATGCCAGCCCCTACCACCAGGCTGCCAACGTGTCTGAGACTGGCCTCAGGCCAACGACCAGTCTCACGTGTCCGGCTGCCCAAGCACAGGCTGGCCAGGCCTTGATCTCCTGCTTGCGTCTGCCCCAAGTCATCGTCTCAAAGTATGCCAGCCTGAGACTAGTGTCAGGTTTGCTGGCGTGTCTTACGTGTCTGCGAGTGGCCTCAGGCCCAGCCCAGCTCAGGCCCAAGTGTGTATGAAACAGGCCTTGCCCATCCAACAACCCGCCCAAGCACAGCTCAGCCCAGCCCGCCCAGCCCAGTAGTCCGGCTGCCCGGCAGCCAGCAACCCACCCATGGCTTCGCAGCCTCGTGGCTGAGACTAGCTTCCAGCCTGCCCAGCCCAGGCCCCGGCGCATCTCAGCGCATGCCAGCCACTAGGCCGGCCCCCAGCTCCCAGCGCACCAGCAGGCTCAGCCCAGCGTGCCAAGGTTTGTCTAACGTGTCTGAGACTGCAGCCCCCCAGTCCGGCTGCCCAAGCAGCTCAGCCCAGGCTGACCAGGCCTTGACCTCCTGCTCCCCAAGTCATCCAGCAGGCCCGGTCTCAAGGGCCCAGTTTCTCAGACTGCCTGCTGGCGTGTCTTACGTGTCTGCGACTGGCCTCAGGCCCAGCCCAGCCAGCAACTCGCTACCCAGCCTCAGGCCCAAGTGTGTATGAGACAGGCCTTGCCCATCCAGCGACCCGCCCAAGCACAGCCCGCCGAAGTTCCAGGCACAACCAACAGCGTAGTCCGGCTGCCCAGCAGCCAGCAACCCACCCATGGCTTCGCAGCCTCGTGGCTGAGACTAGCTTCAGGCCCAGCCCAACCAGCAACCCGCCTAAGCAAACCCCACCCTGTTTGAGACTCGCAGGCCTCAGCCTATCTAGCGCCGAGACTGGGCCTCACCAGCCTAGCGTCTAGCCCAGCCCAGCCCGCCTGCTGGCCAGGCCTGTCTGACGTGTCTGAAACAGGCCCAGCCCAGCCATAGCCCAGCCCCCTCAGTGCGGCTGCCCAGCCCGCTGTAAACTAGCTTCAGGCCCAGCTCAACCAACAACCCACGCAAGCAAGGAGCCAAGCTGCCCGAGACTAGCTTCAGGCCCAGCGCAGGCTTATCTGATGTGTCTGAGACTAGCCTGTGGCCCAGCCCAACCAGGCGAGGCCGGCTTGTCTGCCTTGTCTGGAGACAGCTTCAGGCCCAGCCCAACCAGCAACCCGCACGAGCCACAGCCCAGCCCACCCAAGACTGGCTTCAGGCCAGCCCAACCCCCTAGCCCAGCCCAGCCCTGCCCAGGCCCCAGGCGCAGGATTCGGACCTTCCCAACACTGGATTTCGGTGTTCCTGACCCTAGGCTGGGCCGAGGCGGGCAACGCGAAGCGTTTACAATTATTTGGACCCCTCCCTGTACTTTACTGAAAAACCAAACACTGGGTCAAAGATTTGCACTACCCGACACAAAGCAGCGGAGGCCGTGCATAACTAACCTTTCAACTGGGCGATCCGTTGAGTATGGTCGGGAAGGCCATCCACGCCCAGAAAGTCCGCGAAGGTTGACAGGACGGCCGAATCGTGGGCGCCAGCGTACTCGGCCGTGACCGACGGGGGAGCATCCGGAGAAGATAGTTGCAGCGGGGAGAACAAAAAATAACAACAACCAAGAAGCTTGCAAGTCATCAAGCTCGGGCAAGCGCTGCAGGAGCTGGTCGTGGCCGGCTTGCAACACCTGAAGCTCAGTCCGGACAAAAGTATCAGAACCGAAGACGCCGGGGACCAGCGTTAATTCAACAGGACAGGTCCGGCATCCTGGGCTGGCCAAGATCCCGGGGCATGTGGTCAGCCGCGTTCCACACTCGCGTTTTCCCCTCGTTGAGGCGCACGTGGCAGTGTGCTTCAAGCTGGCGGCCCAGGGTGTCATGCAAATGTCCAACCCGGTCCGGCTGGTGGACTACAGTGTAGACATCGTCCAGGAAAGCCACCAAGGTTTCCTCACGCAAGTGGCTGTGAGCTGCCTGCAGTGCTGGGTGCTGGCCAAGCGCGTGCAAAGCTGGCATTAAGGGGTCTCCTTATAATGCGATCCTCAGCCAGCGCCAGCTGAAAGCGAAGAAATCTGTTGCTGCGCTCCTGTTCCATGCGGCGCATAATCTCCTCTTCGAGGAACTCGATGCGACGCCGCTGGTGCGAGCGGTCGGCCTCGAGCAGCGCATCTTCGCGAGGCCGCTTGCGCAGCGCGTCGTCGGGAGGCCGCTGCGCCATCAGAGCGGCTGCGAGGTGGGAGCGTCCTCGCCCGCCCACGCAGCGGGCTTCTCCAGAAGCCAGGCCTGCACGCATCGGAAGGCCATCGAGGAAGTCATCGCTTTTTTGAGCAGCTGCGGCGGATCGAATAAATATTATCGAATAAGCGGATCGAATAGATATATACCGCAGATCGAATAAACGAGATCTTTTTTTTTTCGCTTCCGACATATATCTACGCCCAGCAGCGGCTGAGCCGCAGCGGCAGTGTCGGAGCGGGCCCCAGAGGCGGGGGCCCCACGAGGAACTCCATCACGAGGTCGAAGGGCGCGGAGCCGGGCGGCCTCGAGCAGCGCATCTTCGCGAGGCCGCTTGCGTAGCGCGTCGCCGGGAGGCCGCTGCACCATCAGAGCGGCTGCGAGGCTGGGAGCGTCCTCGCCCACCCAGCGGGCTTCTCCAGAAGCCAGGCCTGCACGCATCGGAAGGCCATCGAGGACGTCATTATTGCTTAAAGAGGCTGCGCGTTTTGTTTTGGAAAAAAGCACCATTCGCGCACGCGCTTGGGCGGACTTTTCTTCACCGCGGAATCATTTGCCAGGCCCCCTCCACATCCTCCTCAAGCATATTACCCACGTTCTAACGGAGAAATCTTGCCACCCGCTCCCTCCTCCCAGCACAAACCTCGAGCAAAGCGTCTTCGAAGCCAGCAATTTGAACGGCCAGCGCGTGGTCTGAAATTGAGCGGTGACAAGACAGTGTAGTGGTCTTCACCACTGAAGCTCAACCCCGGTTGTGGCAACGACTGGGCATGGCGTTGCGGCGTGACGCCAGTCGCAAATGGTCGGGTTGCGTGTTGGCTGCCAATGGAGCAATTACCGCACAGCATGCTACCCGTCCGACACTGAGAGCGTGTGATGCACTTGCAGCTTTGCTCGGAGAAGCAGACCTAATTACCCGGCCGTGCCCTTGCCAGTTTTCTTCTCGCTGGGTGGTCTTGGCCATCCTTCCGCAGCCCAAACTTCTGTGCCAGCGTTTTGGGTTTCCTGGGCCCGGCCCGGCAGCCGCCTTCCTTTGCCGCAGCGGCCGCTGCCGAGGACCTGCGGCTGCGCGCCGGCCGGGCCACTCGCTCCTTTGAGACTTGAACGTGCACGTTAACCGCCTTGAGGACAGACACATCGAGGTGATTGCAAATGTCCTTTCAAAAAGTGGTCTTCGTTTCCAGAGGGGCGTGCAGCTCCCTCGTCTCCGCCCTCGACTCTGCCGGTCAGCCACGCCTTTACCAGCACCGCGCCGAAGGAGTCGCGCTTTGCGTTGCTAGGCGACGGTTTTCCTCCCATTTGTCAGCTTGCCTGCCGTGCAAAGCACTCGCAAAAAAAAACAAAAAAAAAACAAAACAAAAACAGCGAAACGTAAATCCAACAGTCGCAACCCATCCTTGAGACTGACACCAACGACTGGTTTCTCACTTGTTTGTTGGCCTTTGGAAAGGATCCACTCGAATCGAGCACCTTAAGCCAACCGCTGAGCAAACCCGAAATCGAGCCGCGTTCTCGGGTTTCGGGGATTTGACTCCTGCCTTGGGTTTGCCACAGTGCTTTCGGCCCACCAGTCTCAAGTTCGGTAGAAGGCTTGGGATCGGGTTTGCTGCAGCCTCCAAACCAGAATCTCTGACGACAGCTTGGCTTGAGCCAGCGGGCAGGACTCTTCCCCCATCTTCACCTCCTCTAAAGTGTGTTTAGTCCTTTGTTGCAGGCACAGCTTGGAGCCCCTTGGCGCCACCAGTGAGTTCTATTTGGGTGCCTTGTTTGAGAACACAGGCCGCCAGGCGCGACCATGGCGCTTGTGCTTTCCCCAGCGGGCGCTGCAGTGCGTGAGTGCACTGAGCGGTGCGGCGCGGACGCTTGAGTGCAAATGAAGGGTCATGCCTTCTGAAGATTATTGCTTGCATGCTAAACATGTTCATACTCGCATTGGCAGTATCATCATCATACTCATCAGAATCATAATCATCATCATCATCATCATCATAATCATCATCATCCATTTTTTTTTTAAAAAATATCATCATCACCACCACCACCATCATCATCATCATCATCATCATCATGATAATCATGCATGCCAGTCATGATGAATCTGAGTTCTGTTATGCAAGTGCGTAGACCGGTTTGCAAGTGGAAATGTTATATTTGTGCATGCTATTCCCAGACCATGGCAAGCGGGCTTGTATTTGACAACATGCACATGAGGAGTTGAGAAGTTCCTCTCCGCACTTTGCCTTCAGGGAGGCTGGGGTGAAGACCCCACCATCCAATGAAGAGAGCTGGCCACTTCTCGGGCCTTGCGCTTGTCAGGCCAAAGGAACAGCGGCTTGGCGCTGCCTCCCTGTCCTGGCACTGGGCGTTCTCGTCGGCAGGACGGGGGGGACTGAGCAGCCCCCGTTTGGGTGTAGCGTTTGGGGCTCGAGCAGCACGTTGGCCATGACCCGTGGCAGGAGGCGGAATACCAAGCGATTGCGCCCCAAAGCTCACTGGCTCTTTGCAGTTGCTGCTCATGAAAGTTGCGCCGAGGTTCGCAATGTGCCTGCATTCTCCGCGCGCAACCTGTGGAGCACGAGACGGACCCTGCGGGTTTGGCCACAACAGCAAAGCTGCAGATGGCTCCCTGATTTTTGCTTGGCTAGCGTTGCAATGAGATCGAGCTGGTATCCATGATGACGCCAAAACACAACATAATTTCAGTATTTGTGCAAGGAGTTGTCATTGCTAGGCAGAACAGGCTTGACACGAATAAAGCAAGCATTAAGCATTGCAGTATGTGAAGGTTGCCTTCTTGGCTACGCGTCCTGAGCGCAGGACGTGGTTCTCATCGGCAGCGGTCTGGGCAGCTTGAGCTGCGCGGCCGTATTGGCTGCGGCGGGCAGACGTGTCACCCTGTGCGAGTCCCACTACAGGTGCGGACCCCTGTGAGCTAGATAGTTCGGGGGAGTTCGGGGGGTTCTCATTGAATCAGGGCCAGCATTCCGCATGGTTTGCTTTTTGGCAGTTGCTGAGAAGATCCTAAACCGTCAGCCCAGAGCCAGGCTGGGCGGTGCTTGCCACACCTTTACCGCTGAGGTGGGCAGTGTTGGCGTGACTTGGCTTTTAGGCCTTGGTTGGCTGGAAGGCTTTTCTTGTGACAGCCAAGTGGATTCTCTGCCAATTTTCCTCTGAAAGGTTGCAGCATGGCCAGATACCTTCAGAGCCTCCAAAGGACGATCCAGAGAGAGGCAAGTTCAAATCCGCTGAGGTTTGCCTCGTTGTGCCGCAGCTTTCTGGGCCCAGTGGCTAAATGTCATGAGGATAGGTACTGTAGGCCCCGGAGAGAGAGAGAGAGAGAGAGAGAGAGAGAGAGAGAGAGAGAGAGAGAGAGAGAGAGAGAAAAAAAAAGGGAGAGATTCCGCCGAGTTCCGGGCCGAGGAATTCCACTTCGAGTCCGGGCCATCCTTGTACAGTGGCCTCAGTCTCACGGAGAGCCCCTCGCAGCTGAAGCACGTTCTCCAGATCATCGGCAAGGAGCCCGAGTGGATTCGCTACGACCGTGGCTTGGCCAGGAGAGAAAGCTGGGATGTCGAAGGTGTCAAAGGGCCTTTGCCATGAAGAGTTTTGATACTCATGACGAGTCCTTTGGAGCGGGTTGACTCGTGGCTTTAGGGGTTGTGCGCCTTTGACTTTTCCCTGGAGATCCAGAGGTTGGAACGCCTTTTTGCCCGAGGGCGAGGTCAACGTCGCAGTGGGCTACCAAGAAGTGGTGAACAAGCTGCTCCCAAAGTACGGAGGCTGGTGCAGTCGGTGCAGTACTTGGGCGAGTGGCGAGGGTGCACTTGCCCGCAACTGACGCGAATGGTCGCCAAACGGCAGGCGCTGACGCCATTGTGCAGTGGCAAAAGCTGATGAAGGAGCTGAAGCCGATGTCGGACGCGCTCTACAACGCCCCGCCTTTCGGTGCTTTGAGGGATGACAACTGGGTGGCCGTCACCATGGGACGGTTCTTCAGGCGCCCTTGGCAGTCGTGGCACTGTTTGCTTTTCCCCGCTGTGAGGCGTGTGCTGCCGATCCTTGGGCTTCCTGGGGGCCGCAGCCTCGCTGTCCAGAGTTTCTCCAGGTAGAAACTTGCATTGTTCCAGAACGCACAAGCCAGACAGCAAGTAGCTCAGTTTGTTTTAAAGGATGCGGAAGCATGTGTACGTGCAGCCGGGCTCAGGCGCTGCTCGGCTGAGCCAGCCATTCGAGGTCGGGATCCTGGTGCAACCTGCTTTGATTCGATTGCTTCTCCTTGGCGTGCTCAAAGGCATTCTTGGATGAGACGGGGGTCACAGATGACTTTGTTCGGCTCCCTGGCACAGAGGTGTTTGTCAGGCTTGCTCTTTGCCCCGTTTGGCGGGATTGTGCATGGGGCTAACTAAAGGAGAGTTTGCAATGGGTAGGCGACGCTTCACGGAGAAATCAGGGATGTGTTGAGCAAGAGCAGTTGCCATGCACAGCTTCGGGGGGCTTTTTGTCAGGGTGTGCTCGCCGAGGAATTACTTAAGCCTCTTCAGCTTCTTGCTGCAGGGTTTGCCCAGCTATGGGTCGCCCACCTCTATGATGGCACGGCCCCCGTGCGGGCTGCAGCGGGCGGAGCCAAGGGACGTGGAAGCTGAGGCTTACATGATGGCCGATCTCTACCGAAAAGGCGGCACCTGCCTGGGGCCTGGAACTTTGAAGCTGCAGCTGTGGGATTTGCAGCCGTCTGCCTGCAGCAATGTAGAAGTGAAGCCCAAGAGGCTTTTGAACCAGGCCTGGACTACCCCAAGGGCGGCTCGGAAGCCATCGTCCAGGAGAGATGTGTGTTTAAGGGCTGATGTGCTTGGTCGGGCGGATGGTGGCCTTGCGTGCAGGCTTTGATTGACGGCATTGAAGAGCAAAGTCCTTCAGCTGAGATCCTGACGAAGGCAAGCACAGATGAGTCCCGGATAATTGGATGGTGCCACTTACTTGGCTGCACACAATTGCGCTCTGGCAGGCGCATGTGGATGAAATCCTGGTTGAGAATGGCAGAGCCTGCGGTGTTCGGTTGTCCAACGGCACCATCGTGCGTGCGAGTGAGGCAGGACCGCTATGTGTTTGTTCCTGCTTCTCACGTTGGTCATCCGCAGGCTGTCGTGAGTGGCGCGGACATCGGGATCACCCAGGGCCTTGTAAAGAGCCAGGTGGGAGCGGCCATGAAGCCCCTCGCTTGCGGCGGATGGCAATCCTGTTGGCTCTAATGATCTGTACTCTTGGTCATGCTTGGGGACGGATCAAGAAACCCAGTTGGATCAAGAGAAAGGCTTGCCCCTTTCGAGTTGGATGCTTTCGGATTGCTTTCCTGTTGCCCGGTTCTGTCCGGCAGGCCCCAGAGCTGGAGCAGTTCTTCCAGGCGTGCTCAAGGGAGGAATTTCTTCACCGGTGATACTTCCCTATGATTCAGCGGGCCCTCGAGGAATGGTCCGGCTTTGAGCGGCTGAACTCTTTCATTCACATCCACCTGGGCTTCCGGGGTGAGGCTGGCAAGTTTGCCCCCCAAAGACTTGCCGACAGGAAGGACCTTTTCGGGCCTTGAACATCGGCTAGTTTTGGCCCGTTCCCCGATCTAAAGCCAAAGCAGCTGGTTGGCAAAGAATGCTACCTGAACCTGGAGCAAGTATGCATTCTGATGTCTCAGGGGCTCCCGGGCGAACACTGCCCAGACTTCCCGGCGCAGTGGGGCGTGGTGAACGACTGGGCGGACTTGGAGGCGCCGAGGCGAAGGGGGTGAAGGGGGTGAAGGCGGTGAAGGGGGCGAGCGAAGCAGGCGGTTGGGCCGCTGATTTGAATCTTTGAACATCGAATCATCGCGCCTTTAGCAAGTGGGTCGAGGAAAGGTGGTAAGAAAGGACAAATCATCCTACAGCCGCAGGAATGTGGTGCTGGTGAGTGTGCCGTCCCTGCTGGATTCCGGGTTCGCTCCGGAGGCAAGCGAATCCCGAAGGAGGGGGAAGTTGGGGATGGGAGGCATTGGTCGTTTTCCGTGCCAGCTCGGGCTGCCCAGGGATTCCATAGCCTGCACGCCTACACCCCGGCCACGGAGCCCTGGCAAGACTGGCAGGGTCTGAGCCGCAGCAGCGCTGAGCCGGGGGACCCAACTGCCAGACATGTCCGGTGGGTTCGGGAGGAGAAAGGGCTTAGCCGTATTCGCCAAGTTCTGCTGCTTCTCAGGTATAAGGAAAAGAAGAAGGAGGCCGCGGACTTCCTCTACAAAGCTATTGAGCGGCAGGCGGGGCTCAATTGCGCATGGCTATAGCTATATATATATATATATAATTAGCATAATATGCCAGCTTGGCAAGGATCAGCTTTCGGATTTCAAACAATCAAAGGGGCGGCGAAAGGATGCTGAGCCGGCTAGAAGAGCCCAAGAACCAAAGAATCAAGCAGCCAGAGCTTCAAATCCCTATCCGCGAAGTGCGGGGCAGCTGAGGTCCCGGACATCCGCTCCAGGGTGGTTTTCGAGCAGGTGGGCACGCCGCTGACGCACGAGCAGCGCACCGAGACCCGACTGCGCCCCCCAGAAGCGAGGCCCATGTTCCCATGCTGGGGCAGCTTTGTGGTTCCGTCTTTTGGTGTCTGGCTCTGGTCTTTGGCCCCGGCCTGAGGCGGTTCTTGCGAAAGCCAAAGGGCGCTTATGGCTGGAGGGCGCTGGCCTGAGCTGGCTGGTGAGTGTGGCTCACATCCATGCGCCAAGCTTGGTCAGGTGCTAGCTGGCTCAAACCTTCCGGGTCATTCGACCCCACTACCAGGCGCAATGCGGTATGCTCAAGCAGTCTTTTTCCTACGTTTCCTAATAGTTTTGGGCTTACGCTTCGCGTGCCCGAGGGCTCTACATATGTGGCGATTCGACCTCTCCCGGCATCGGGGTGCCATCTGCGGCCATGAGTGGCCACATTTGTGCTGACCTCAGTCATTTTCAGCTTGAAAGCATTCGCCAAGCTGCTCGTCATCCTTAGGTGCAAACAACATCCTGTCTGTCTCGGAGCATTGGAGCCTGCTGGATCGTATTCCTGATTGGCACTATGAGCTTGATATGTAGTTCAAAAGGAGCTTTCGCCTTGAGCCGGTCAGTGGGTTGCTGACAGGCGCATTTGCATGTGCATACTTTTGTCGGATTGCAGCCGGCGTTCTGAAATCTCAAATATCGAGGCGACTTTCAACCATGGAGCGGCTTTCATGCACAGATTGGATCTTCAAGGATTGCATTGTGGGCAGGTTCTCAGCCTGCTTTGGCGAAGCAGGATTCCAGATCTAAGACACGTAATTTCTTGAGCCAACACAGCACAGCAGGCTTTCAGCAGGCAGAGCCCACGATTAACCGAGCAGCAGGGACCCATAGCTTCGTTTCCCGCCCGTGGGATCCAAAGATGTGAGGCCCTCGGAGGCGAATGGATTCAAAGCTTTGGCACTATGTAAACCTCTGATCATGTCGCTTCCCAGGTATGCGTCAACCATTTTTTGTAGTCCGTATGTTGGTTACGAGGGACTGGAAAGTATGCTCAAGTCTGTGAGCATGCGCCGAGGTCCTGCTTGGGCTTCGCGCTGGCGTCCTCCCGGCTGATCGGCAAAGGATCGCTGGAGGCCGAAGCGCGAGACATTTGGACGGGACGCGCCGGGACGCGCCGGGCTTGGCAGGTGGGGCATAATGCTCCAAACCAATGGCGGCTGAGTAAGAGCGATGCGCCGGCCTCGGATGTTTTCAAGCCCTCAGTTTTTTCCTGCGTCCTTTTTTTTCCCCCTCCCTTGTGGGCATGAGCTCTAGACTCTATATTCTGTGCAACCACAAAGGGCAACACAGGGGTCCCACGGGTCCTGGGCCAGCTTCGCGTGAGGCAGAGGTTCGGAAGGAGGCCCAGAGGCGGGCGAAGGAGCGGATTCCGGGGCGACCCCTGGTCTTCTTGGAGATCGAGGCAGGGGACTCGAACTCTCGGCACTTGCCTGTAGATCGTGGTCTGCCACAGCATCTCTTTGAATCCTTGGCTTTTGTCATCGACCTCAGGTGGCCGGGCATCCCGCTGCTCGAGTTGTGTGCCACCTGCTCAGCTCTAACTTCTGCCTGCCCTTTGCCTTGTCTTTTAATGTCATTTGTTGTGTCCCTGACCGCAAGCCGACTTAAAAGACAAGCGCCGCTGAGGTGAGCTTTTCTCTGACATCGTGCCCAAGACCGCAGAGAACTTTCGCTGCCTTTGCACCGGCGAGAAGGGCCTTGGGCTGCAGGGTCCCCGGCTTTATTCTTGTTTGTTTGTGTGTAGCCCCTTGGGTTGAAAATGCTGTTTGCCCCGTTGGGGGTCGTTCGAGGGTGAAAACCCACATGCTCTGAGATTGTGGGCAATGGTTCCCGCTATTGGTCATGATTGAGTACCCGCGGAGTTTGGCAAAATGGTTTTGCCGGGCTTCTGATGTGCCAGCCTCAATCCTCTTCCTTCTTTTCCCAGGGCAGGCAAGCCGATGCACTTGAAGGGAAACGCTTTCCATAGGGCGCTGGCCTCAGGTTTCGTGGGGGCGTAGGCTTCGCCAGGTTTTCAAATTAACAGACCGGCCATCTCAGCTGGATGCAAGCTGGCCTCCAAAACCGACTCCCGGCCGGTGCCCGTGAGGTGGTCCCAGGCTTTGCGGTCCAAGGCTGGCCCTGTCCGCATGATGTGACCTTTGTTGGTTCTCTTTTTTGTTGTTGTTTTGCTTTAACAACCTAAATGAGATTTGCTTGGCCGGGGGCAGGTGGCGATATCACCCGGGGCGATGGCACTGGCGGAGAGTCGGCCGCGGGCCCCTGTGCAATGGGCCATTGGAGCGCTTTTTGTGCCGAACAACGAAGCCGACAAACAAACGAGGGCGACTTCAAGATTTCAAGCACGGGATGTGCCAAGATCTACGGCAGCACCTTCGAGGACGAGAGCTTCGACTTGTCCCATGACACGCCTGGTGTGGAGCTCGGAAGATCAGACCATCCGCACGATCCGGAGTGCTGTAAAGCCCGTGCGCATTGAGTCCTGTCAGAAAGCGAAAGGCAACCAGCTGACCCATAGCCATTCTCGATATTTGACGAGCTGTCATTTCCCATAGCCATCCTGGCTCGAGTAGGCAGAGCATTTGGAGGCCTTTGGAGGCCCAGCACTTCTTCCGAGCGGTGACTGGTTCCCTCGATGTCACTTCAGTGCGTGCCAACTGGCGCCGATTTCCTTTGCGTTCAAAGCTTTGAGCAGGAAACGAGGCCAAACGTGGGCAGCTTCGGGCATCCGGACTTGTGCGCTAAGCCTTGCATTTGCCTGATGCACGGTTTCTGCCGCAGGGGCGCATTTTGTGGGTACTGCCACTTGGAGCACCGAGCCTCGCCTGCTCGGTTGTGCAAGCAGGACCGGCAATACCTGGAATGCCTCACTGCTGCGGAGGTGGTGGGAATGATCCTCCCGTATCTGAAGGCCAGAGTTGCAAGCTTGGGCGTGCATCATGAAGCCTGGGACCTGTTCAGGGCTCTGCAAGTTGTGGCTGGGCGATCCACAGTTAGAAGCGCGGATGTGCAAGCTCCCGTGAGTGCTGCAAGGCTGCAGATGGCTTTGCAGAGGCTTTCGATCAGTGGCCTCCTGTCGCTGCTTTTGAGACGCAGCGACATGGTTTTCATGGAGGACCTGGAGCTGTCTTGCGCGCAATTCCGTTCAAGGATGGCAATGTACTAGGTGGCACCCCCCACGGTCGGATTGACCATGGCCTTAGTCCCCTATGAGCACCCATATGCTCTCCAGAATTTCGAGAATTGGAATGCACGCTGAGCCTGGTCCAAGCGCAAGGGGGAAGAAGCAATCGAGTCTTCAGCTCCTTGACCATGGCAGTCTCACTCATCCATCTCAGCGTTTCTTGGCATTTTCGCGCGAAAAGAGTTGAAGCGGATTTTCTGTTTTGGTGGAAAGGCAGTTCTTTCTTGGGTTTGAAATGTACCATGGCTCTGTCATTGCTTGTGGGAAGTAGTTTTGACCACAAGGCTGCAGCGTTCAGTGCAACTACTGTGGCTTGTGCCAGGCCTGCTGAGCATGGCGAACAGAGGGCCCAACACAAACAGTGCTGGGCTTGGGGAGGCTCACTGTGATGCGCGGCCTGAACGAAATGCAACCCGGGAATGACTGCTGGACATTCGCTGAGATTCCCAGTTCTTCATTCTCACGAAGGAGGGCATGGGGCTGGGGCTTGGAGCACCGGAGAATGCGGACGGAAAGACAGGTAGATGCACCCATCCACCCACCCGTCTCTGGTTTGGTTTCTGTTTGCACTCGACTCGCCGCGGCGCGTGCAGGCATACCCCAAGCTGGACCTGAAGCACGTGATCTTCGGTCGCGTTATCGAGGGGATGGTCACCATCCGCCGCCCCGCGCTGAGAAAGGCTTGACGTGTGGGTCGCCAGCTTTCCGGCTCCAAATCGCGGTTGAAACTGGGGCCCAGATGGATGTAGCCGGCCCCAAAAGCTCGCTGTTTTTGGACACGGCCAAGTAGCTGGCACAAGGGGAAACGAGGGTAAAGCATGTACGGTGACCAATGTGCTTTGATTGGCAAGGAGACGACTTCAACACAATGGACAATTGCCAACTCTGCAAACCACAAGAGCAGATGAAAGAAGAAAGTGCTGATTGCTCTGATGCAACACCTTCTTGCCACAAAAGGTAGCCCTTTGGTGTCCTCCTTGAGTACAACCTTGCGTTAGCAAGGCTTCTTTTAGAGTGGCTCCCGGAGAAACTCCCACCCTGGCCCCGCTTTTCTCCCACACTTGCATTTCTCCCTGCTCTTCTCCCTGCTCTTCTCCCCAATTTTTCCCCGGTCCTCCCAAGACAACGTTCAATTCCTGTTTTGCTCTGGCGTTTGAAGGCTGGTCCAACCAGTCAAGTCACGGTCTACCTTGTTCCGAAGTTGTTGTGGGACACGGTACGCTTTTGCTTCATAGTCTTTCCATTGTCATTGGATGCCCTGTGGCATGCAGCCCCATGCCCAGCCGCTTCGCTTCCTTATATGCCTCAACTCGATTTTGATCTTGCATGCTAATGTAGCGGAACACTCGCATCTTGAATGGTAGTTTTAAGCATGGTAGATCTTCCTTCTGAATTTCTTCAATTCAAGCTTGTACAATTTGCATTTTTGGTTGTGTCACCGTTGGGTGAACATTGCGCGACGTTTTAGTAGTTTTCACATGCTCGAAAATTAAGCATCTTCCCTCGAAAATCATTGACCGTCAAAGCCAGAAAGTTGCATTTTTTCTGTGTTGTGGTTTGGATGTCCTTTGGCAATTTTCACTTTCGTCCCCAGGGAAGCTATTTTTTTTTCCTCTTCGGGTTTCACACCGCATTTGAGTTTTAGGTCTTGTGAGTAGCATGAAAGGCACAACAATTTTCGTCGCCTGCCGCTTGGCGGGCCCTCAGGTATAGAGGAGGTGTGCGGCACCGCGGATGCTGGATCCGAGCTTTGTGGCCGGCTCGGGGGCAGACGAGAGATGCTGCGCGTTACTTTTTGTGAGACATGAAATGGCTTCGGTGAGGCCAGTCTGAATCATGAAATGGCTTTACTCAGTCATGAGTCATGACGTGCCAAGATCAAAACATTTCGGCGCACGTGCCGTTGGAGTATGACCAATGTTCAGATTTTCTGGAATTATTGCATCACAGGCTCCTTTTGTTCAGGAAAAAGCTGCGCCACGAAGGTTTTGAATGGCCCTGACATGCATGACCG